CCCCAAAACCCCAAAACCCCTTTTGTCTAAATAATGCAGAAATATCTGAAGACTTTTCTATTAAATATATAAATGCATCATTAATTAAAATCCTAAATATTTTATACTCTCTTAACGTAAATATTTTGATAATATATGATATGTCTGGTACAAAATCCTTTAATCATCTTTGATATTACCTCAATTATCTAGTTTTTATATGATTTGACCGTCTTTTCTGTAACTCAAATTTCAAAAGGTTCAACTTTTCTCTTTTTATAAGATTTCACAGATCTATAAGTTACCACTTGACCCTTTAATGCATGTCTTTAAGAGTCCTCAATATCATCAAACTAATCCTTAATTTTAGAACTTGAAGAAGCATTTTCGATTTTAAATTTAGACTTTCTTTTTTTATCTTTTGATGAGTTACTCTTAAATCCTAAATCCTAAACTTTAAGCATTAGACAGGAACTGTCTTCCTTATGAGGTCTTGTGGACTAAACTCGAGTATTAGTTGACTTGGATCCAGAGCTAGAACTTTTTTTATTAATATGTTTTCCATTTATAATATCTCTTAAAATATAATCTTTGGGGGTCTTTATAATTGAAGACAGTAAACCCTTGGCACCATTAGATTTCTCTTTGTCATTACTATCTTAATCATATAAGTAATCAGTTATTTTCCTTTTCAAGATCCTCTTATTTAGCTTAAAATTTTCTTTTTTTTCAAGTATCTTTATCAAGTTTTATTCATTGAAGTCATTGAAATCACTTTGACTTAAGTTACTATCTTTAGGATTTAGAACGTTTTGGCTATTGTAAATTATTGAAAGTCTCTCGATAGGAGAGAGGTAAGATTGCATTATAAATTAAACAGCTCTTAACCTTCTAATTAGATTGACAACATCAAGCTCTTATCGTAAAATTGTTTAAGCTACCTCAAACTACTAATAATTTCTCTATAATTTGCTCGTCCCATTTTTATCTATAGATTTGAAATATCTGAAAAATTTAATGCAGTATTTTCTGGACTGGAATTGAAATCTTTTCCGTGTCAATATATTATTAGAAATCTCTTCAGCATCATTTGAAAACAGTTCCTTGCCAAGCTGATCTGAAGATTCCTTAGTCAGAGAGTCATTTTTGCTAGATTTTTTCTTGTTCTTTTTATCGGTTACTTGAAATATCTTACTTGAAATTAATACTTATGCTAACTGAGAGGAATACATTGACATTATATAGGAGAATACGAGGAATAAAGTTGTCTTGAGACCTCCAACTTCTCCGAACAGTTGCCCTATTGAGTATATTTATCTCTCATAGACATCATAATTTTTATCCATTCTAAAAAATACTCTGATGTAGAGAGAGTTATCAAAAGCATTGTCATCTTCAGTAATCACTGCTTTTTGAATTTGGAAAAATTACTTTTGCTGAGATTAACCATATTAAACCCAATCATCTTGCAACTTCATCATGTTTTTTTAGACAAAAACATTTGTTTGTTTATTTCTATCTCTCTCAAGATCATAGTAAAGCGAGTCATCCAAATAATGATTTATTTCGTTACCAAAGCTTTTGAAGTCAAAGTAAGAGTTCACATAGAGTGCCCAAAATCTCTAAGCTGTAATATAATTCTGTATATCTTCTTTGGTTTTGCATATCGTTAAAGATGCTGTACTATTTATGCACCTTTGTAATTAGATCTCAATGTAGGTATAATTTTTAGAGTAGTAGTCTCCTTAGAAGGGGGTTTAAATCTGTCGTTAATCAATACATTAGAGAGTCGGTAACAGTGAATTTGAGAACTGTTCTTAGTCTTGATATCCAAAATTGGAAAAATTACAAGGACTAAAGCTTAAAGGTACCTTAGTCTTAATTTTGACATTTGTTTCATTATTAGATTTCTAAATTACATAATTCAATGTATACGAGGCAATTGTTGGATCAAGTACCTTTCCTATTCCAAACGCGACATTAAATCCATCCTCAAAAGGATTATATGGAGAAGCTTCTGATAATTTTGTAACAAAACTTTACTTACTCGCCTTGACGTCTTCAATTTTAAATAATACGTTGGCCCTATAGGCGAAAAACGCTATCAAAATCATAAACTGGAAAATAGATATCAATGCTCCAAAGCTTGTCTTAAATGACTCATCTCCATTAAAATTCAATTTTATTGTTTATCCAAATTAGTCCAGCTGTCTTATTTGTAATTTTGAACATCCATATTTCTTTTTCTTTTGATTTGTGCTCGTTTAAGGTATCATGGAATTAAGCCTTAATTGTTTAGGTCTATTCTTTAACAGAATTATAAATAATAATATCAAGGTCGCACTAAAAGCTTTTATTTTAATATACTTACTCTCATTAGATATCAAATTTTAAATTATTTTTTATTTCTAATTATTTTAAAACTAAGAATTCAGACTTTCAAAAATTTTTAGCTTTCTATAGTTCTTATGGGGTTTTGGGGTTTTGGGG